TGACGTATAAAGAATGTGCAATATCAAAACTGGAAATAATATATACCAAATTATTATGATTGATCTCATACCAATGTCGTTTGTTTTTAGAATAGAGAGAGTTAAAAGTTTTGAAGTTAGGTTTTTATATTTTATTGATAAATATTTTCAGTTATAGCTTCTTTGGCATGACATAAAGAATGTTCATTTTTCTATAGAAAAAGTACTTTTGTTTAGGCCGTCTGTCGGTTTTTGACTTATTTGAATGACATATTATTGATTTAAAAACTTCTAGTGATTATAATATATATAATAAAAACCCACTATTTAACAATAACATTTTTTGGTAGTAATAAAACATACCATCTACCTCAATTAATTTTACTCTTAAACGTCTTTGTATGTTAAACAAAAGTTCTCGGATATTTATAAAAGTATTTGCAGCTCCTTGTAATTTCGGCTGCAGCTACTGTACACAATTAACTTGTTCAAAGTATGCCAAATCCTTCAAGTATGACCACGTTGAAATATCCAAAGGTTTTAAGCTTGGGCTCCTTTAAAAAGTCTCTATTCATTCATATTTCTCGATCTTCCGCCTGTTAAAACGCTATATGAAGGAGTTGGTGTGTGATTTGTTTGATTTAATCAGACCACCTCATCAAATTCTACTTCTCATGCCCCCTGAAGTGTATGGGAGGATCCTCATGATTCTCTTTATTGTCATTTCGTCTTGCAGCTACATTTTCAAAATATTGCATCACTTTCTTTATGAATAATGATGATAGTTTGGTGATTAAAATTAACTCTTCCACTCCACTCCACTCCACATAGTTCTCATATCAATCTCAGTCAATATATTTGCGTTCTTTAGTTCTAAGTGTCCAGGATTTTGAGCCCACATCTTTGTGTGTGGAAGTCTCGATTCGTCCTATCTTTTGAATCTGGAACGCCCAGTTGGTTAAGTACTTCCTATAACTTTTTCCAGTTAATAAAGTCATTGTTGTAGTCCATAAACCATATTGCCATAGATCTCTATTTCTATCGTTTGCTTCGTGAAATGTATAAAATCACTAAACGCATCAATCGAGGAAAGTGGAACACGCAACTATAGAGGAAACACTAATGAAAGAATATGTCTCCAGACTTGATAGTATATGCAAATCTGACCTTGGCAGTAAGAATGTGATTAAGGCAACCTTTGCAATACTTATCTTGACCTACTCGTTTGGAGTTATCCTACCGGGTCATACAGATATCGATAAAAAGTCCAGGAAACACCGCCCACATAGTAATATAATGCGGCTTACGTTGCCTCGCGCAGACGGAGGAAGGAGAATTAGCGATATTCGCAACATGCGAAATAAACAAATTAAGGCTCTGAGGTCATATTTCTATCTAGGAAAACATGAATCCAATCTCCATGCAGACATATGTCTCTCCGAAAAATCTTACACAGCTCTTTATTCTTAATAGTGCCGAACATCAGGAACACGAAATGGTCCAAACGAATCTTGACCACATTGAGATCCACAAAATGCGTCGAACGCGTGGTTGAGATACGGTGATATGTTTCCAGAGACGAAGGCATTCCTTCTTGCGATCCAGAACCAGGTAATCGATACTAGAAACCATTTAAGCAATCATTGGAAATTCAAATAACAGATGATAATTGTAGAAAATTCCATGAAATGCAGCAAACTTTCACAGACTGATTACCCGCACCGTCACAATCAAGTTGCAAACATAATCCACCAAAAATTGGGAAACAGCAACTATCTTCTAGCAGAAGAGGTGCCATACTAAAAATATTCGCAGTTTTGGAATCTGCAGGTGTCAAATTATGTTACGACCTTACAATAGTAACCGACAGGATCATGCATTCTAACAAAGCAGATATCACTTGTCCAGATAAAAAAAAACTGTATTTATTATAACATAGATACCCCTAATGTGCACAATCTACAACACAATCAACGAGAGGAAATACAGAAATACAGAGAGCTCAAATTTGAATTGAGACGGATCTGCTAATGTCGACCTTTAGGCCTACAAGAAAACAATGAAACCGTAGGATTGAACCCAAATATATTCAAAATAATGCAGAAAGCCGTCATTCTGTACATCACACGAATCACCCGTAAATTTCTGGAAGAGTGAAGATGTTTTAGCTTAGGCTCCCACTTCTCACTATTACACAAGTTTGCAGAAGCTGAGAAAGAAGAAATAATAATAATAATAATAATAAAGGGACAATCATTGATATTGCCATACGTTTGACCCACAATTTGAGATATATGGAAGCTGAGAAAATTCGAAAATATGAAGACCTGGCTTTCTAGCTAAAACAAAAATTTCAAGAAAAACTTGGCGAAACTGGACATGCAGAATAACATCTTTGATGGATCACAAAAAGCTATAATACTCCAGACATATCACATTGTTCGAAACCTTTTGAGATTAGGTGAAGTAGGATAGGAGGAAGCTCGTCCCTACCAATATCACATCGCCAATTCCTGCAAAGCAGAGAAATTTCAGACCGATAATAATAATAATAATAATAAATTGGGTAAGGAGCAGAAAGGGTGTCGGAAGGGATCAAGGGGTACAAAGGAGCAGCTGATTATCGACTCCGCAATCATGGAATGTTCTAAACGAGAAAAGAGCTCGCTATATATGGCATATATAGAATATAAGAAAGCCTATGGCATCACATTGCAATCTTGGTAAACGCTGGTACTGGAACGCTACAAACTCATACAGTTCCTTAAGTTTGCCGTGACACAGTGGAATACAGAACTATAGTTATGCATTCCGGACAACGTCATCAATGTGAGAACATTAAAAATAAAAAGAGGAATCTTCGGGGCATGCGTTAAGCCCACTATGGTTTTGTTTAGCACTAACTAACCACTCTTCTCAATAAACACCGGAAAGGTTCTGTATTCGATGGAGGCCAAGAACAATAGTTTTGGTTGGGAAAAGGGATCCTGCGTGAACACATCCCGAATGATAGATGTCGTATGTGTGGAGAAAAGAGAGTATCTTGATGACCTTCTGATGCTCTCTATTAGCGCCTAAACCCTGCCTCGACAGACATAACAGAGTTGCTGGTATAATACATCAGGCGCTAAGGTTCAAATTTATGAACATACAAGGCACAACGCTGTACTATCGGTACCAATCTTGGCAGATTCGTTTTGGTAACTCTGCATGAAAACTTGTATTTATTATTATTATTATTATTATTATTATTATTATTATTATTGTTATTATTATTATTATCTAACAGATACAAGCGTCCAATATACAATAAGGCGAAATAAAGATAAGCGTACTTAATAGTAGCATACATGATAGTTATAGTAGAAATTTAATTTAAGAGAAAATTGGAATGCGGTTCCAGACATTGAAAAACCCTTGAATTGCAACTAGATCTCTGAGGGACTTGCGAACGGTCAATCTTGGACTTATGTTGGACTTGAGAGAATGACTGCTAAATAATTTCTTTAAAATTTTTGGAACTGTGTATTAAATCTTTCCAAAAGTAATTACTGTTCAGTACTACTTGCCGGAAAGGCACCATACATTTCATTTTCATGTATACCTTTTAATTTTTGTCGGAGAACAAAAAAGCTCCTTACTAGCATTCACATAGTTTAAACCATCACAACTTCATCCAGTGGAAGATTCCCGCTTTTGTGTAATTAGCAGAGGACAAATTTTATGTCATCCAAGAATTAAAAATTAAAATAAATACAAGTGTGAAGATGACTCTTAAATTATGGTCGAATTTTAAAAAATCCAATATCAGACTTATCTATGATATAATATATTACCTATTACATATAACAAATATATTCTTGTTTCTGTTTTTTAAGTTAGGCAGAGTTACTGCAAAATATATATTATTGATTAAACTGTTTTGGCATCTTGGATTATTCGCACATAACGAACTGCATTCATTAAAAACAATGGAATAATCTTTGACAATTCAAGCTGAACAACCTCACGCTTAGCCTCACTCAACTCAATCACAGGTGAACGATTGTGATGGTTTAAAGATTCGTTGGGAGTGTACGGTGTGGTGGTGATGTGCGGAGCGCCATCTATTGCCAATTGTCGGAAACGAAGTCGGCGAAGGAGCGCGGGGTGGCCAGTTCCTTTTTAGGGGATGAAGTGTGTTGACGTGCTTTTTGATTGTATGTTCGATTTTGATCGGCTGAGCCAGAGTCGGTACGACCGGGCCATGCAATTTGTACTTTTCTGTTTTTCCACGTATAGTAATACACTCCGTTAGTATAGTATAGTATATATTGTTTTCGACGCTTCCGAACCCGGTGTGCTTCCGTAGAAACACATCCATCACACGAGGTTGTCTAGTATATAAGCCTCGTATTCTTTTGAATAGTGATACATCTGACCGAAACGTTGTATAAAGAAAAAATAAAGGCAATGGTAGTTATACAATCTCCTAGTATTTGTGCAATATAGTGTTTAAAGAACATGAATTATAAGACATTGGTAAAGGACTTACAGTATCCACTAAATGCATTAATAATATAATGATGATTAGTAAAATTAAAATTTAAATGCTTGTAGTCACTTGTTTTAAGTGCTACAAAAATGCTCGAAAACTACTATTATAAAGTAGTTGACACCCGAATAGTCATTTTTTTACCATCATTTCTAGAAAATGAACCTTGTTTCATATTTATTTTCACATAATAGATGAAAACGATAAAGATTCACTACATTTGCTATGTGCTATATATCTCATTCATGGAAACTACAAAGTTCGGCTCTTCCATGATTATAAATAAAAGATGATTTGCTCTGATTGTAGGTGCTTCTCTGATAGGATCAAGCAAGAAATTTTTATTGTAGGATAACAAACAAAAACAAACTGCATCGATTTCTTGCGATCGCAAAATATATTACTTTCCGAACTGTCTGATTCCGTGCTTGTGGCCGTATCACGATCTTTTTAATCTTAGGTTGCTGTAAGAAAAAATTTGTTTCAGACACCCCTTCATTCGCCATATCGCGAGAACCAGGCTTTGGGTTTTTGATCCGGGAAGGGATGCCCGTGTCCCTAAAATGTGACGTCGATGCTAATCCCAAGGCCAAACCAATATGGCAGAAAGACGACGGAGATCCGTCGGTGCAACAAACTCCCGACGGGTTTCTCAACTTTACCGAAATAAGGCGAGAGCACAGCGGGTGGTACAAGTGCATAGCGAGGCACATGCTGGGCAGATTTAGCAGCATCGGATATTTTTTGAATGTCCGTAAGTATAGTAAGTTGTTCCACTTATTTTAAAATACTCTAAATTGATTATGGTTAGTTTGTGTAGTCCGAAATTGACGCGAGTAAGCTGTCGCAGATTAATTCCCAAATAGTTCCATACTGCATAACAACCCAGTTGTTACAGTTTATAATAATTTGCTACAGAATATTTTTTTAATTAAAAATAAAACAGTAAAATATTGATATAAAAAAATATGACATTGAATATTGGAAAACATTAAAGATAGAAAATCAGTTAAATAAATAAAAGAGATTATGCACTCAAAAATAAACTAAAGCTTGGTAATTAAAAACCAAAAGGTTCATTGTATTGGTATTGGTATTGGTATTAAAGGGGGGCGCCCTCGCGGGCGTCCAAGCACTTAGGCCACCAGATGGGCCCGTTGTGCCCCCAGGCCGCTCTAGAGGGCGTCCAGAATGCCGCCCCTCCTGTAGAAGGTCAGCAACTCCTTTAGCCCAATACCGTGCACTGAGTCCGGATCGATCAGGGCCGTTCCGAAGACTCCCAATCTTGCCCATGTCAAGGCAGGGCACTCGGTGAGCAGATGATACGGGGTCTCCTCCCCTTCCATGCACACCAAAAGGTTCATTTACGAAAAAGAATGATGTTTTCTTTATTATAAAAGTTTTTAATTTTCAGAATATGTATAACAAGATACGGCGACTTTATGAATGTATCAAAAATATTAAATTCTTTCTTATTTTACTTTCGATAAACATATCTTTTTAAATTTTAATAAGTCACATTCTATGTGCACTTCTGTCCTGTTGCTACTGCTTCGAAAGGACGATATTGCTCATTGCAAAGGTTCCAAGTTTCACGCAAATACACTCCAACGGTTGAACCACACACAATCAGGCTCTATTGCTTCCTATTCCGTTTCTCTCGATCTTTTTCTAGTCCAGGGAAATTAAAAAATTGGAACCAGGGAATAATCATTTGTTAAAATATATAGACCCGCTAGTAATGGAGAAGTAAAAGCAGCGAAATAAAATATCCTGTGACTCTTGTGGTTTACTACTTTAATAATTAGAATTATAGCAATAACAGGTCTTTATTTTAAAAAATACGAAAAAACAAAGACACCAATTCCAAATAATAATAATAATAATAACGCCTTTATTTTTCTTATTGCAGCCAATACATAAACACGTGTAAATGGGCGTGGCGAAGTCAAGTTTACAGTTAGTCATATCTAACCACCCAGTATAGTTAATAACAATAACAAATTTTTTATATAAAAAATGTATCGTTTACATTCCCACTGAGAAAATAAGTAGTGATAAAAAATGATGGAAGAAAGAGGAAAATAGTAAAACAAGCAATAACAGTACGATCTTACTAGTGACCTTAACAGAAAAATATTACGGAAATCACGTCCACAATCATTATACGATATGCAAAAACCACACAATAGATGCAAAAATATGTCCAAAGTCGTGCCCGAAGTATAGGGATTTAATATCACTTTGTTATTATATACATTTGCGTTATTGAAAGCGGCTTCTTTGCTATTTCCAATAAAAACACACTGAGATTTGGAGTTGTTAAAATTATTGAAATTCGTGTGTCACCAAAACTAAGATACAGTTGAAATTCATTTGCTAATTGATGCGAGCCGAGACTAATATAAAACAGAAGCCAGGGATGTAAAATACTGTTTACCTTCTACCATGTAAGAAATTTCGTAGAAAGGATACTGCAGGAGCATCGTACCCAAAGAATTTATGTTTGGTACACAAAATATTATGGTCAATACTCTGTCAAATACTTTGCTATAATCAAGAATATCATCAAATACTTTTAAGATCGCGGTTTTTGCGGATTGCACACTTTAATACTTTAAAAGGATATGAAACTGGGGCCTTACAATACTCTCGTATACTCTTCTAGATTTACATTAGAATATGCTCCACTCCCTCCAGCTGACAGTTTATGCCCCTTTAGAGTAATTTCATCCAAAAATAATAGAAAATAAGAATATCTTATGGACATTCATCGTAACTTTGAGTGTCATTATAAGTATTAATATTACCTAATATTTATAACAATTTTGGTATTATTTCATTTTACTAATTGTTTCGTTTCGATTTAACTTTAATATTCAGGATCAAATTTTAGGACCTATTTAGAAATTATGATTTCCATCTTGAAATCGCTTTTAAAACGTGAAACTTTTTCCATTATTTCCCCTAACCGCCCCTCTCTGTAAATGCTCCTTTGCAGTAATTTTTTCCAAAAATATTTTGTCTACATTTAACGTGACCTTTAATGTCAATATAAGTATTACTATTACCTAATATTGGTATTATTTAATTTTACTAATTGCTTAGTTTCAGTTTAGTTTTAATATTAGGGTTTTTTCCAAACTGGATTTAATTTCAAGCAGTAGGAATTAGGATCTAAATTTGTGCAGGACACATTTTTAAAACGTAAAGTTTTTCTATATTTTTCGCCACATGAATCATCCGAATTAACTGACATATATTTGCATTCTTAACAATTAACAAACAAAATATGAAAAAAATATCAATTTCGATCAAACGTTTTCTTCCAACTTCCGGTATACTCATTTTTTTAGAATGGAACATAAATTTGCTATTGCTGTTCCCAATGGTGAAATTAAATTAACCAAAATTACCACTCAGAGTGACTTTCAATTTAAAATGATAAATTTTAGTGATCGACAAAGTGTTCCTTATTAATGTTTTTAGAGTATCAAGTTTCCGGCACGGAGGTGCAGGACCCTGTAATTTTAGGGACGATATTTTTAGTGGTGGGTGTTGGGGTATGCGTGTGTTCCCAGTATAAGTAACGTGACCGTCACGTACTGTTTCAGCACCCGTTACCAACGCGTGGGTAACGAAACGGTAACGTGACGGGGACTTTACAGTGGGAATCGCACTGTGAAGACAAACCTACTATACAAGTGGAGCCGGGAGTCAAAGCAAAGCAATTAGTTTTTTAAACTTGTTTATTATCGTAGGAAATCATAATTATGCACAGAGGGTGAGTCAACGATATAGCAAGGTTCATTATTTCATTGGTTTCAAAAACTATAAAGATTGATAGGATGCACAATTTAAAATTATTTGAAGTATACAGCATGGCTTAAAAAGCCGTGCCGAATAAAACACATATATTATAAATATAGTTATAAATTTTGGTTTGAATTCGATTTGAAATTATTCAATTTTTCTATTAATAACAATAGTCTATACCAATAAATATTATAATAATAAATTAGCTTTATTTGAAGACGACGAAAAAGATATATGCAACGAATTTGACTTGAGAATACAAGATCTTCAAACTAAAAGAATATAATTGGATAATTCTATATAGGTTATAGGTTTTTGTAATATCTTTCAGAAAAAATTATGTATATATATATATATATATATATATATATATATATATATATATATATATATATATATATATATATATATATATATATATATATATATATATATATATATATATATATATATATATATGATGACACTATATTCCGGGATATCATCCGTTCGCTCGTTGAACTCCGACTGGAATCCTGCATCCGACTGGAATCCTGCAAATCTTGCATCCGACTGGAATCCTGCAGACGTTTCGCCAAAATCCCACTTGGCATCTTCAATGCTCGCGCTCCGAAAACACTTCGAACACTCGGAGCGCGAGCATTGAAGATGCCAAGTGGGATTTTGGCGAAACGTCTGCAGGATTCCAGTCGGATGCAAGATTTGCAGGATTCCAGTCGGATGCAGGATTCCAGTCGGAGTTCAACGAGCGAACGGATGATATCCCGGAATATAGTGTCATCACATTTTTCCATCCGTGAATCAATACGTGAGAATATATATATATATATATATATATATATATATATATATATATATATATATATATATATATATATATATATATATATATATATATATATATATATATATATATATATATATATATATATATATATATATATATATATATATATATATAATTTTTATTTATAATATTTATAATTATAATTATTATATAATGTTTTCCGAAAGATATTTCAAAAACCTATAACTTATATTATCTACACCTCACATACCTATTTTTTGAATACTTTGCTATTTATTGTTCTTTTCCAATAATTACACATCTTTCTGTCTAAGACTATTGTTATAATATTAGTTGATCAAAACTCTTAGCCAAAGGGCTCGGTTATTAGCAATTTTGGTCGAAATAATGACAGAATTTGAAATCCACAGAAAAATTAACTAATATTAAATACCCATTACTACAAGTTAACTTATCTTATTTTTAATTAGAATTTTGACTCAATTATTGGATACTTGGATACACGTGCACAGTCTATTTCGTATATTTTCTTGCATAAACGGTCTTACTCTCCTGCACCCGTCCTGAATCCTATTTTCCATATCTTCTGGTGTTGTAGAACGATTCATACAAACACGATCTTGAACACATTCCCAGAAAAAGAAATTTACTGGTGTTAAGTCATATGATAGAGGCGGCCATCCAACATCTCGATGGTAATGCGGAAGATCTCTATGTTGCGGAACCCTCATTTATTGGATCTCAATGTTATCAATTTCTTGAAGTAATTGAGTTAAATGATTCTGCAAAAAGTTTAAATATTTTGGCCCCTTAAGTGGTTCGCGAAAAAATATGGTCCAATAACTTTAAAATTTCATCGAAAAACGAAACTATTCGACAAATTCCGCAACGATAATGGCGTCGCAATAGCTCGGTTTTATCTAACCTAAACTCAAATGTTGCGGTTTTATATCAAATAATGTGGAGCCTAGAACGAGGCGGATTAGTTCTGGGCCGAACTTTTCGCGAATTAGCTGAGCGTCAGCTCCAGAAGCTGGTTAATTAAAGCGTCAAGTACGTTTTATAATGCGACTATCCCTGCCGTCATTGTTTGTTAACAGCCACTTATATTTTAACTGTCGTCGACGGCCGAATTCGTT